TATTATATAACGTATCTTTTCCTTAGATACTAACTTGTCAAAGTCTTACTTTGTACCCAAGGTCAAGGTTAAATGCTACTTCTTTGTAAAATACTCCTGCATTCTGATTGATAAAACAAATATCCCCACACTGCACCCCTAGGATCTTTAACAACATCCTCATAACTCTTGCTTGTGATAGAACCTTTTGTCACACAGTAGATGCCCAACGCACAGCAACATAATGGATGGACAGATAGAAGCATTCTATCATGTTTGCTTCTTTATAAAAAATTATTTCTTTCTTTATTGGTAACTATAATCCATGATGTGGTCAAGGTCACAATCTGTATTTCTTTTAACTCTACCTGAACAGCCCTGACAGAAATAACTCAGATGATTTGCAAGTAGTTTTGAGTTATCTGGATCATGAAGCGTTTCCTGAAGCAGATGGTTTGACTTCCCATACTCCTCACTGAATATAAGAAACCAGCCTCACAGGCCATATCTATACTGGAAAGAATTTTCAAAAAATATGTTTCCAAAACAGTTTTACTCCCTTTAGATTCCCCATACAACTGCTTTTGGAGTAGACAGGTATCCCAATCTAAAGGAAGACTATGGGGTAAAATGTCATTTTGGCATATCATAAACTTTCTCTCATCCTCTACTCCTGAATCCTAACTACTTAGAATACTGTAAGCATTCCCAGACTCACACGAATTCCCCAGGGGACTAAGCCTCAGTCATACATAATCTAAAAGATGAAAAAGATAGCAAAACAATGTCTCTATGCAAAATTCAATGCAAAACCTCCTCGTCCCACGAGTGAACAACTTGGACAACAGTATCTCAAGGGTTCACCTCGGGGGTGGCTGTCAACACCCACCAGGAGTTGTTTTTTTTTTTTTTTTTTTTTTTTTTTTTCCAGCATCTTTAGAGCACAAAGTCATTTTTAAAAACAAAGACAGTCTCCACATTCAGCCACTGTCTATGGAATCCCAGTCAAAGAAAAAGAGCTGGGGAACTTTAGGAGAGACAGTAGGAAGGAGAGTTTTCCTCTCCTTTTCGGGGGAGAAAGGAAACACAGAGGGAGTGAGGTAAAAAGAAGAAAGGATGGAGGGGAGTGAGAAAGCAATGGAGGAACAAAAAAAACATAAAAGAAATTGAAAGAAACCAGAAATCAAGCATTTGATGAGTAAGGGCAGTCCAGAGGCTGTGACATCACCTCAACAGCTTCCATAGCTGTGAAAATACAGGTTTACCTTTCAAAAATCCTCCTTTCTTTCTACAAGCTTGAACCCATTTTTATTCTTTTTGGGTCTGTGACCTTTGCAAGCTCATGTTCTCAACACATGACTCAAAATTCCCGCTCCTGTCCGCTCTTCTTTCCTTTGCTCACTAGAAAGTTTGTTTTCAGATTGGATTCCATAAGGACGGGAAATTCCTAAAGCTTTTCTCACCTCTAAAGAAGATTTCCTTCAGAGGAAGCAACCCGAGGTGCTACTAATTGGCTTTGCAGAATAGTCATTGCATGTGGCCTTAAAGAAACTGCATGTTTGCTAAGCCAGCTCCAACACAGATGACCAAAATAAAAGTCTCCAGGGACTTCACATGTGTTCCTGCCACTAAATCTTAAAGTGAAGTGGCAGTTCACAGAACTGTACCTGCTGCTTTTCCAATCAATGTCACAATTTTTCTCATTTAGGTATTTAATTTCTCAGATTCCAAGTTGGAGTTTCTAAGGGCTTCAATGAAAATGTTAAAAAATAGTCATCATTATTTGATTGAACTGATAAACTCCAGTTCTACACTTGGCCAAGAATAAATTAAAAATAAAAACTTCTAGTATGATTTAAAAAAATCAGTCTCCTCCCAGAATTTCCTTCAAGTTAGTTTCAACCCAATAGTATATTATTTTGACCGACCTTGTGCATATTTCTTAAAAGAACAGTTAGATGTTTTGTTAAGTAGACCATTCTCATGCTGAAAATGTTTAAAAAGAAGAAAATGCCTGTTTAATTTGCAATGTTTAGATAGCATTTTTAAAAATAGTGGTTTTTGGTACCCATCTATGTGTCTACAGGACATGCAGCCAATGCTGCCTGCTGATCCTTCAATTCCTTGGGGTTATGCAATTTATATTATTTTGCTAATAATGAGTTAGAAGAAGAAGCAGCATTTTGCTGTATTGACAGGCCTGGCCAAGAACAACAAGAAAAAGAAATAGCAAAAACTGGCAAATTGTTTATGAATTCTAATCCCCTTCACATGAATAAATACATCTGATGAAGTCCAGAGTCCCTCGCAGAGGGCCTCTTGACCTTTCTAATTTGAGCTCAATTGCATGCTCATGGTTGGGAAACTAGGTGGTTCTGTCAGTGTTTTAAGCTCCAGCTTCACTACATTTTGTTATTTGTAAAAGTGAAATCCCAGATAATAAGTCATAATTGCTCTCTATTAATCACCCGTAAGGGGGGTTGGAGGGAAATTGGGATTTTTAAATTGCAGTAATTGGTATCTGAAAAATGTTTTTATTTTCTTATCCAGAGATTACCACATAAAACTGCTGTGGAAATTGCATGTGGGTATTTTGGTTAAATGGTGAGGTACAGGCAATATGCCTTACATATTATTTTTTTTTCTGCAGGAATGAAATTTAAAACTTCAATGTGGTCACAATGACTTTTGACCTGGAAAAGGTACCCAAAGCCAGGCAATGGATTATAAATTATATTGTCAATGAAAGTGAGAACTCTTTGTTTCTTGAGTTGTTTCAAGCATTACACTTTCATTTCCTCTTTCCAAATGAATTATAATGTACAGCACACTTGTATTTTTCTTCCACTTTTCATTTTAAAAACTCCCATTTCTCTTTGCTTTGTTCTTTTGGGTGTAGAAAGATCTGCTGCAACAAAACTTACCTTTCAGTGTTCAATATACCAACTACATCTGTCATTCCTAAAGTATTGTGTAGGAAATCTATACCCCTGTCTACATGTCTAGAATCTTTAGTAGGAAGAAAAACTGAGACAATGAGATGAAACTCCCCTTTCTTTAGATTAGGATGAACCAATTTTAGGTTTTGCTTATTCAATTGAAGAGGGCCAATCAAAGAAGATGAGATGTTAATTAGTTATTATAATTGCAAGATAAACCTTACCAAAAGATAGCCAGAGAATTAAAGTCAGTTAAATAATCAATATATCCCCCCCAAAAATCTCAATTATTACTGCCTGGGTTGTCTTTTTTCACCATTTCCTCACCCCTGCAGACTGACTAAGACTAGTGAATGATGCTTTTATCCTCCATGTCACAGCCCGGTCTCCTTAAAATATAAGGTCGCAGGAGAGATTATGCCATCTTCACTGGAGATGCTCCTTGGAAGTGAGATTTCCGTGGAAAACAGACTCATCTTAATTCCGTGGAAAACAGACTCGTCATTGAAAGAGCCACTAGATCTGTAGTTTCCTTCCAGGTACTTGGAAATGTAGTTTGCTTATGTTGCTGGGTAAAGTTTCCTTCTAGGCAGGACAGTCATCTGTGAAGTCACGATGCACACCTCATCCTGGTTTTCTGGTGTAAGCCACCATTCCGCTTAGCTAAAACACTTTCAAAGTCCTTAAGCTTACAAAAGTGATTAAAGGCCATACACAACTGGTCCAAAAAATGCTGTCTGGTGGGCAAGCAGAGCAAGTTACAATGAATCCCCCAAAGCAGATACAGCGTTTTGAGACTCCTTTGGTGCTACGCCCAAATAATCCCACATTGTGTTTGGCATTATTAGTTTACAACAATCACAGAAAGACTATTTTTTTTAAATCATTGATACTGTGAATGATGTGTGAAGTGGAAGAGCAGCCTATTGTCGATGCTAATCACTAAGTTGTTACAGTCTCCCAGCTCCTTGCCAAGAGGTTTTAGACAGTGCTAGGAGCACTGTCCAAAGTTATATAACAGTGGTAGACAAATTATCCTTTCAAATTAAAAATATATGTACTTAGTCAATAAATATGGCAAAATAATCATGTTGTAGCACTTTAGACTCATATGATAATGACAGCAGCAAAAGTTTTGCACTCAATGTACAGAAGGAAAAGTACAATTTTCCATAAATATATATGCAATATCCTAAGTTTTTGTTAAAAAAAATGAAAGTTGGTTTCAAAAACGATTTTATGAATAAGAAAAGATTTCTTTCCAGTTCAAGTTCACAACAGAAAGGTAAAATACTCTCCTGAACTCAAAAGGAAAACCAAAAACTAACTCATTAAACTGCTATACATTCAGTATAAAAGCCTAAGTAACTTGATGATTCTAACCAGTATATACAAGCATTGAAATAGTTGCTGAGCTTCAATGAATTGACCTGAAATCTTGTCCCGACCTAGACCCAAATGTCCAGGTGACTGGATATGGAGTCTGTGGAGTGATTAACAATCTGCACTGCCGCGTAGATGTGCAATGTGGACCTTTCATCCTTTAGATTCAAGTTCCAGTCTTAGATCCCATGCAGTGTAGCTGCAGGGCAACAGTGGAGTTTTCAACCTTGAGGAGATTCCTTATCACTCTCAGGAAGACAGGACACTATCTTTACCTTAGCAAAAGACATTCTCAAATGATGATGAAAAAAAAAAAGCTTAAGGATGTTTTCGAAATGGCTTTATTTTTCTGACTTAGCAATCCTACAGAAAATCTCAAAAACTTTAAAAAGTTTAATTTCATGTTAAATGAGTTGATGTTCATTTGATTTGGTCAACAGACAAAACATTCTTCTTCCCAAGCGTTTTCACTACTCAGTTTTCGGCTGTGTAAATAATTTGATTGGTGGGAATGCTTTGTGGATACACTACCTGGGAAGACAGTACAGCATATCACATCAAAGCACAGAAACTTCTAGTGCCTATGTCCTTCACGGTGAAAGCTATGTAGAATTTCAACTTTGTCAGATTAAATAATAAAATATACATGCATGCATCCTCCTCCTTTCGCCCCTGACATTGTGTACTATTCATCTTTACCTCATTTCCTAGAAGAGCATTTATGCAGGCTTCAGACGCATCACAGATGGCTGTCAGATCATGTCCTCCTTCCAGAGCCAATGCTACGCGTCCGTCAGCCAATGTCATCAGCTGCTTCGTCAAATGACCAAAGCCTACCATAAAAAAAGGAACATTTCAAAGTATTAAATCAAGTAAAAGTACTAGCACATAACAGTGAGTGAGCATTTATTCTGTTAGAGTTCTTTCTCAGCATTTTCTAGTGCTACTTCATTTAACACCCATAATTATTATCTCAGTGTTACAGACAAGTGCATGAAAGCCCAAGATCCCACAGATAAGAAATACCACAAGACTTGCATTCTCTCACCAATATACAGCAAAGCCTCACCTAACAGGATTTGTAACCATTTGATGACAAACTTCAAGACGCTGTACATGTAAATCAGTGGTAGAGTGCTTGATTAGGATGTAGATGGCCCTACATTCCCTTCCCTAGAAATGTGCATGTATGTGTGTGCATGTGCGTGTGCACATGCACACACACACATGCACACACATGCACACACAGAGAACTAATGTTAATGAGGTAAACTATCCCATTTGTTTGCCCTGTGCTTCTTGTCTCCATCACTGATCCTAATTATAAAAGGAAAGTTGGTAAAGAGCACTACTATTATGTATGGTTCAATTTTTATAGTCTTTTGTTATAAAATATTTGATAAATGCAAAAACATATAAATAACATCTATACATTAATAGGCTACAAACGAATTCATAGCAATCTCACTTGTTTCTTAAGGAAAATATGGTAGCACTTCTGGCAAAAACTGGTATGTGCCATTCTGCAATAGCATCAATTCCGTTGCATGTGGGAGTCAGGAGTCTGAGTTAGCGTTTAAATTCTATTGTTTTTCTTTGTTTAATTTGCTTTCCTTTAAACCTTCCAAAAGCAACTTCACATGTGTGCAGCTTGCTCTCCTCATGCATCTGGTTTTCTCAACTCTGCCGATGTATGGAGCTACAGTTCTTTGCTGTATAGTAGGCCAGCTCACGTCTATAGGATTTACTTGCCCAGTTTTCTATCTATAGATATTTGGTGTTGTTGTTACAAAACTTTTAGTTTTTGTTGTTGTTGCAAAAAATGTTGCCAAGAATATCCTTATGAAAGTCTTCTGGTGCACATATGTGAGAATGGAATAAAATTGTGAGTTAAAATCCATTAAGTAATGCCAGATTACTTCCAAAGACCCATCAGCAGCCCCCACACTTAGAAGCAGTGCACATGAGGTTTCCAGTTCTGTTCTTCCACAACCTTGCCAGCCTTTGGTGGGATTTGCTAAGCAGGTGGATGAACAATGCCTTATTATTTTGGTTTCTTTCTGTATAAGGGAAGAGCTTTATGTTTCTAGTTTCAGTTGAAGTTACTATTTAAATTGTTGTAGAATTTGGTTTAATTCTTCCTCTACATAGACTGAGTTTTTCCTTCAATTTGGAAATATTATGAGTTAGAATGCATTCACCAGTATTTCTAATATTAAGCCATCTTTGTACCTAGGGCATAAAATAAGCTTTCTTCTGATGCATTTTTTTTTTGTATGAGCTCAATTAATCTAACTAATATTTTCTCAGGATTTTCTATGTATGTTCACAAATGGGGCTAATATTTAATTTTCTATTCTCATGTTGATTTTGATGAATTGTGGTATAGTTAGAGCCCTGTATTCATTATCTGACCCAGAATGTTGGATAAGTATTTCCTCTAGGCTTTGAATTCTCTATCACAAAGATTTTTGACTATTGATTCAATTTTGGGGGGATTATAGGACTATTGTCTTCTTTAATTATATATTTCTAAGAATTCATTCTATTTATATGCTCAAATTTATTGAAAAATTATGTATTTTAATCTTTTATCATTTCCAACTCCAATGACATGTATATAAACTTTGTCACCAATATCTCTTAAATTCCTTCACATTTTCCAGTTGGATTTCTGTGCTATATTTTCTCTCTTTACATAGATTTTTTTTCCTTCAAAACTATCTTTCAAACTTTCTTTTCATAAATTTCCAACCCGTTGTTTAGGACCATTGTTAACTTTAAGTGATTGTATTGTTTACTTGCAGCATTTCTATTTGTTTATATTTCATAATTCCCAAGTATTTTTGTCGATTCTTGTCCTGTGATTGTGACTTTTATGCATCCATTGTATTTCCAGCAGCTTCACTCATTACATCTTATAAGTCCTTCCAGTTGAGCTGGCTCTTTACGTTCTGTGTCGATTCATCTCCACGGTTCCTTTAAGTTTCCTGTTTCTGTTTTGTTTTCTTTTGTTTTTAATTTTGTCTCTCAAACTCACATACAGTTTATAGAAGAGAAATCTTTGAAAGCCCGGTGCAATGGACTGTGTCTGTGACCACACACCCCGCCCCCCCACTTTCCTGGAGTTGGTATGTTGGAATTCTCACTGCCTAGGGGAGGGTATCCACAGGTGGGCCTTTTGGTAATTAGGTGATAACATTGTGAATGAGATTAGGGCCTTTAAAAAAGGGAACCCCAAAGAGTACTCAAACCATTTGTTTGGTTTTGTTTTTTCCTTTCTTTCTCTGGCCCATGAGGCTACTAGAAGTTGTAAGCATGGAGCCATTCACTAGAACTAACCTTGCTGGCTGGAGTTCTGCTACAGGCTTGATGGTGATGAGGAAAACCTTGGCTGTTTTACAGCCATTGTTCTATTCTACTTTACTGTATCAGATTTAACTAGGACACCTAATTGAATGCAGTCTGTCTTTCAAGCCCAGTAGAGTGTAGTTTGGTTTCTTCTGCTAAATGTTTAAGATGCTGTCATCTAGATTCATTTTACCATCTCGGATTGCAGGGTTGATTCTGCATATTTATCATAAATATGGACTGGATAGCTTGATCACATTCACAAGGAAGTTACTTGATTTTTTCCACCTCTTTACTTTCTCTTTCCTTTTAGCTTCCTTTTCTTCTCTTCATAATGATAAATCAAACAGGCTTGCTATTTTTCAGCAGCACTTTCCTCTTTTGAGTTGACCTTTTGTTGTTGTTCTTGGTCTTCAGTCAGATCCCACCCCCATTATAGGATCATGCTTTACCTGCTCTAGCATGCAAGAAACAATGTTCAGAAAACGAAGATTTGGAGATGGATACTCTAAAATAACCAACATCTCTAATATTTGTTCAACTTCCTTCATCTTTCCATATGCCATCAATAAATCTAGAAGTATTTTTTATATTTACCTTAATGTTTTAAGGTACTTTAATGCCAGAGTACTTGAAGACACCTACTTTTTCATATTGCCAAATTGGAACATTCTTTTTCAATATTTTTTTAACTCATCGTATCATATAAACTTGTCCAATTGCAGGAATAATTGCATAGTAAGTACATAAAAATAAAATAATTGCTTCAGCACGACATTTTATTTTTAGGTTTTCTGAACTTACAGAGGGAATACTTAATTTTAAAACAAATACATTTTAAATAGTTAATAAATTTTATTTTTCAGAGTAGTTTGGAAGTTACAAAGAAATTGATCAGGAAGTAGATTGTAGTCCATATACTCATCCTTTTCCTATTACTAGTTTACATTAGTATTTTTACATTATTAATTTGCATTAATAATGATGCACATGCTTCATACTCTACGCTATACAAGTGCATGGAGTTTGACAAATGCAGAGTGACATGTGTCCACCATCATAGTACCACAAGAAATAGTTACGACTGCCCTAAGACTCCATGTGCTCAACCTCTCCAGCCTTCTTTCTGCTCAGCTCTTGCCAATCAATGGTCTTCTCGCTCTTCAGTTTTGTCACATACTTGATGCTTTCATGAACTCAAAATTTTTATTTATTTTATTAGTCTTTCTAAATCAGAGAACACATGATTCCTTGTCCTCTTACTTATACAGCACATATTGAAAACACTTGTATGTATCTGCACTTATCAAAGATTGACACTGCAAGAATAAATTTGCACACAGAAATGCATGCTTTAAAGACATGCCTGGGCTGCTTTCCATCTAACTCTTGCTTTTCTCTAAAGTATCACAGTGTCACTCATGAAAAGGAATCCCCAGAATCTAGTTGGTAGAACAAAACTAGACCGATGCAATGGTCAAGTGGTAAGAACATGAACTGAAACAAAGTTGCTTCCATCTGAGAACAAAAAACATAATGAACAATATCATCTTAAATTTTGGAATGAATTGAGGTACTCACCCAATAAACAACTTCAGGGTTTTCAGTTGTGATCCAGCATTTGATCTTAGCTATGAGCCCTGTGAGATGGTTTCCTCACTACTGTCCTAAAGCACTGTGATGGCAATCTTAACCCCTTAACTACTATTTGGGTGGAAGTCAAAACAGTCACTTTCTAAATGTCCCGTATTCTTAAATGGTTGGCAAAAATTATTTTTAATAGTGCATGAAAAACAAGTAAAAATGGCTTTCTAGCTTTTCAGTACCTCTCACTTCCTGTGGAGCTGCTGATTGTTTTACACGGGACACTTAAGACTGAGATGGATGACAGTGAGCTCCATCTTGTTACCCAGTGAGTAGGAAAGGAGAATAGATGTTCAGAAAACAAGTGATGCAAGGTGCTAAGAAGTGCCCTTCGCTCCAGTCAACATTAATAGCATGTAGTAGTTCACTTCATTGTAGGAAACATAAAATATCCCAGACAAGGTCACAGTTAATTGTACTGTTAAGTATTCTAAATAGCTTCTTCTGTAACTTAACCAAGGCTATAGTGACCATTTTCATAATGGAATTCTAAAACAAGCCCATGCACTACATACTTCATACTGAATGCTCTTAGAAATCAGGAATGCAATGATGAAACACCCATCGAGCAAATCAAATTGCATGCATTTCTCCAGCAGAGGCAGAGGAGTCCTGGATTGATTCAAGTTTAGTTTTACCTTTGAGAATAAAAGAAACAATATGAAAATGCCAAATTTAGATGGGATAGTAAAAAGTCATAGGAAACAGTGGAATGAAGTTAATCTTTGATCTCAGTCCAAATTCCTCCTTCTTTTACCTACAGGCTTTGTTTCCACTCACATGCTGCCCATGTGACCCCTGGAGTCAGAGATGGCGGCAGCTGAACAGGCCTGGTTAA